CTCCCCGGAGCCGCCGCCCGCGCCCGCGACCCCGCGCGCCCGCGGGGCAGGGACCTCCGGCTGCGGCGCTGCTAGGCCCGCACCACGCTAGCCCGGAACCCAGGGGCGGCAAGAATGAGCGCCAGCCCTTACACCGCGCGGGGGCTGCTACGGTCCAAATCGAGAGCCCCCGTCAGCCAGAACCGCCGCTTTTCATTGTTAGGGCCCCCCCATTCAGGCTGGGGACTGTCTCCTTGAAGGCTCAGTGTCCTGTTTCATTCCTCGTGAAATCCAGCCGCGCTCATGGCTTTTCTTCCGAACCACTACAGAGTATGAAGGTCAAGAGTTTTAAAAAATCAATTCTTTTAAATGCCAGAATTCTTGTTTCTGGAAAGCACCTGGAACATTAAGGACAATTCCAATTTCCCATCCATTTCCCCACCGCCACGCCTCCCAAAAAGGAATCCGCTGGGAATAAGTGGTCTGCGCAAAGACACTAAGTTGGCTAGTCAAGGAGGGAAGGACATTTAGCCAGTGGCTGATACCAAGTAAGTGAGCAGAAAGCAGTGGCCCCCCGGGACAGCTAGGCAGGCCTGGTCACTCCTGGGGTACTGTAGCTGCATCTGGCTCAGAGGCAGGCCGCCTGAGACATAGCCCAATAACCTGCTCACCTGAACATTCCCCAACGACCTGCCTAAATCTCAGTTTGAAAAAAACATACAGGGAACCAGCAGTTAACGTAATGGCTATGTCGCTGGACTGCCACGTAGTCGACCATGGTTCGCGTCCCGGACCCGGTGGCTTAAAACTCACGCCGGGCGCGTGTGCCTGAGAGCCAAGATCCCTAGAGGAGAATGGAGAAGGGATTGCTGCGTGACCATCCCCCCTGGGGGGTGATTTCTCGCTTTCTGTCTCTCTGTCTCTGTCTGTCTGGCGAGCGCACCGAGCACACGCGCCCTAGGGAAAAATCTCTCCAAAAAAAAAAAAAAAACATACAAAACCTTGTCTACTTTGATCACATTTGTAAATGGCTAGTAGGGCGATGTTCAGATGTCCTTAGGGAACCAAAATGTTCATGACTGTGTTTGTTTTAGACTCTCAGTTCTTTATCTTCAATTTTTCCTTGGTCCTCAGGTGAAGGAAAGAAAATTCACCTTATACCATGTGAAATAATATTTTCTATTCCCATTCCTTTTGGTAATGAAATAAATGAAAGCAGGGACCCTATCTGAAGTATTTATTCGATTTCTTTCTACTTATTATTTGCTTGTCTCATTTATATACATTACTTTCTATTTCACCATTATATCTTCACTATACAGGGCATGGAGAGGCACAGGCCATGTCAGGGAACTTTGTGTTGAAGTTCAATCCATATAGAACAATAGAAAAGTTAGGTATGCCTGTTCTAGTCTTTACATTTTTTTCTGTTATTTTAGGTGCTGAGTATGAGGGTGTTTTAAAAAATCACGAGAGAAATAATAGATGTTCTGTAGGTAATTTTCAAAATATGTCATTGTATTTTAAATTACCCTGGATCAGTACACATTGTACTCATGTACCAAAAAATCATACTGTACTGAACAAATACATACAATTATGTGCCGATTAAAAATATATGTCAGGGGCTAACCAGTGGCATGCTGGTTAAGGTGACGGAATCCCACGTGGTTGACTATGTAGTTCAAGTCCTGGTCCTGGAAGCTTGAAAAACATGCCAGGTGTCTGTTTGTGTATGCCCAAAAATCCCAGGAGAAGAATGGAGGAGATGGGATTGCAGTATAGTCATCTCACTGAAGGATGATTTCTCACTTTCCCTCTTTCTTTCTCTGGTGAGTGTATGTGCCCTATAGCAAAACTAAAAAAGAAAAAAAATATGTGTGTGTGTGTGTGTGTGTGTGCGTGTACTGTTAAATAAGAAGTGAGGCATATATCTTTTGAGGATCAAGGGTACACACCCCTAAGAATTTGGGTAAACACTGGCTGACACCTAGAGAGATAACCTACAATGAGATTTACACCTGGTTCCTGGGTCGCAGAACATCTATCAACACCAGATCCACCAGTAGTTGATGAGATGTAATTGGTACCAGTTAGCCACGTCCAAAAAAGAGCCAGAGGTTAGGCAGGACTTCCAAAAGTGAGTTTCAAGCTTTGGTGTGTTACAAACATCACATGGTGTTTACCCGAAAGATAGAGTCTTAGGCTTCATGTGAGAGCATTTTAATACTGTAGTCCCATTGGGCCTGGTAAAACCTGCTTTTTAAAAAGCGTCATAGGTGATTCAAATGCAGGTAGAATGCAGCTCTTCCAATAAGAAACCCTGAACTGAACCCAGTGGTAGTGTCACAGTAAAACCCAATACTGACCCACATGGGAAGATTCCAGGTTTGCAAGGCTGACCCATATGGGAAAGTTCCAAGTTTGTGGCTGGAGCTCTCTCTAAGTATGCTGGGCACATATGTGCCCATGATCTGGGACTGGCTGAAGCTGAGGGAAGATTGCAGCCTCGGGACTTTATTGAGAGTACTGTCTCTGTATCTTTGACTCATGGAACAAATAAGTAAACTAAATAAAGAAAAACTCTGACCAAAAGGTATCCTGACATGATCATATCCTTTTCTAGCCCTCCCACAATTTTAAGTCATTTGATCACATCTGCATTAGTTTGCTAGGACCGCTGTAACAAAACACCACAGACTGGGTGGCTTAAACAATAAAAACTTATTTTCTTAGTTCCAGAGGCCAAGGTCAGAGATCAAGCTGTCAGCAGGTTTGGGTTCTTCTGAGGCCTGTCTTGTTGGCTTTCAGATGACCACCTTCTCACTGGGTGTTCCCATGGTTATTGTTCTGTACATGCACACAGCTGGTCTCTTTCTCTTTGTTCTATTCTCTTTTTATAAAGACACCAGTCAGACTGGATTAGGGTCCACCCTAATGACCCCATTTTAACTTAATTACCTCTTTAAAGGTCCTATGTCTAAATATATCCTGGGATACCAGAGGTTAGGGCTTTAACACAGGAATTTTGTGGACACACAATTCAGCCACGGCATCATCTTTCTACTTTTTCCATGCAGAATTCTGCCATTTCAGTAGCTCTTCACGGAAGGGATACGGAAACTCTAATCTCCTCGATCATTTCAGTTTTCTATTGACTACAATCTCACTGAAGCTCAGCGAAGAGTACAGCACGTCGTGTTCTAGATTGAACATAGAATTTTGTACCAAAGGTTGTGGGGGTGGGGGTAGAATTTTCTTAACTTTTTGACCACACCAGCATAGAACTTTGAGGTAATTCAGCACCTATAATAGAGAAGAAACTATGGGTAGACTTCAGAGGACAATTGTTTATTTTATGTTTATTTTCTGTATTTCAAAGTTCATTTTAGTTATGCATTTTGTATTCTTTCACCTTACATATAGCACCTTTCTTTTGCCTATACTACAACTTTTTTCCCCTGCCACTTTCAACCACTTGGACAATCTCCTGAGATTTTTTTCTGTAGCTTATTTTCACTGTAGCACAGATGTGTAAATGCTCTGAATAACTATAACAGGAAAGTTGGGATGGTCAGTTCTTTTATTTATTTATTTATTTATTTATTTA